GCGGCTGCAGCACGAGCCGCCGCCGCCGCCAGCAGCAGGAGCAGCAGCGGCCGCCGCGGCGCTCCTCGGACCTGCACATTCCTCTCCTCCCCTCGCGCGCGCTCCCTCCTCCCGCAGCCTCTCCTCCACCAGCTGACTCCGACGGAGAGGATGACCTCATCCCTTCCCTTCCAGCTGCCGCCGCTCCCACCCCGGCTGGGGAGGGGCGAGGAGGGGGAGGGAACCGGAGGAGGGGCCGGGAATCGGAGGGAGCGATGGACTTGGGGGGTGGGGGGCGGCTTCGGGCTGGCCCAGTGCTGGGCGCGCGGAGGGCAGCGGCGCGGCAGTGGGAGGACCGGGCTCGTGGGATTTCGGAGTAGCGCTGGGTGGATTTGATCGACGCTGGGGGTGGGGGGCAGAGAGGGGACAGAGCGCGCCGCGTGGAAGAGTCTCTCCGCGCTGGGCCAGCGCCGAGGGCAGGGGGCGGTGGACACGAGCGGGCGTGGCAGCGCCGAAGGCCCACGAAGCGCAGGCCTCTTTGTACAGCACCTGGCGCTCCTCTACCTGGCCGGGTGTGCTGGGCCGCTAGGTGTGTTGTTGGCGCCCGCGAAGGTGAACTGCATGCTTTTACTCCGGAGCCAGGGCAGCGGTGGTGGTGGGCGTGCCAGGCTTTGGAGAGCCGAGGAGGTGCAGGCAGGACCTGCTGGGCTGGAACACCCAAGGCAGAGCTGGCAGGGGAGGGCGGGCCCTCGGGGGTAAGGAGAGGGCAGCCCCAGGGGTCCCGTGCTGCTAAACCCCATTCAGCCTGGGGAGATGCAACGGGCCCCGGGGCTCTAGCCCTCTCCGGCGGCGGGTGCGTTCCCCATCCCCCACCCCACGCGAGTTTAACGAGCCGGAGGCACCAGCACTAGGCAGACTCGGTAGCTCGGCCACTCCTAACCGCAGGTGGAAAAAGGCAGCACCCCTGGCGGCAGCCTGGAGGGACTTGGCAAGCAACCAGGGGAAACCTAGGACCGGCCCAGCCCACTGCCTCGGCCCGCAGGGAGTGGCAGATCGCAAAGCTAAAGCCACCTCTCTTATTCCAAAGCTGCAGTTACCTTCCGTTAAACCCACAAAGGTACAGACTCACTGTGTGGTCTCCCAACCACAGAGGTGACTCGCATTTACTCTCTCCTCAGAGAGAATGTAAGAATGAAATTCGTTGCAGTTAAAAAAAATTAAATCCCAATAAAATATGGGGTTTCCTCTATTGTTTTTTTTTTTTTTAAATAAAGAAAACCTATTCTTTAGTTTGTCTCCCTTAGCTTTTGCAAATGTTAAGGCACAAAGAGGAGGGTAATTCTGAAATTGCTATGTGACTCACACACGTTGGGTCCAAAGGGAAGCGAGGAGCCACTGATGATGCAGCCAAGAAGAGCACCCATTAGCTTCCTCATGGATCTGGAGATAAAGCTTAGCATTCCCCATTCCTGGCCCCTCCCCGGGGCAGCGCCAGGTGAGTTTGCACTACTCCATAGATAGAGCCCTTTTTGGCATCGCGCAGTGGAAGTGCAGGAATTTCTCAGCGTGCAAAAACCCTCCCTGACATACCGCTACACCCCACAACACTGCTACTTTACCAAACTGACCAAAGGTGTGGTTCTTCTCGCCCGACGGATGCACAGCCAGTTGGCCTCAAAGACAAGGGTCCGGGCCTTGCTGCTACTTGTTGGTATTTCGCTGGCACCCTGGCAGGAGAATTTGTGGCCATGGGTGGGGCCCATAAATGATTATACTATACGGTACGCGCTAAAACAATTTTTCTAGTAAAAGATTGGTGGTAATTATGGGGCAACCCAAGCCACTTAGGGTCAAGTATTTTAAAATCCAACTTTAACAGTGGGCCATTTTTAATAGGAAGTCCTCTTTGGAAAACACCCTGGCTCTTTTTCTCCAGGGTTCAAATCTAACATTCCATCTCCAGGGTACTATGGCTGATCATGCCTGTGCGAAACCGTTAGGGAGATCTCTTAGGTAACTGGGTCCTCAGAGATAGAGTGTATTCTAGGTCAAATGCAACGTCTTAAATTGTACCAGACTCAAAGCCCTGTAGAGTAGCTGAGGTTTTCGGTATCAACAGACGGACACTTGCTGCAGAACCGGGAAGTTTCTTGTTAGATGGTATCAGCTGCCCCCAGCACAGAACGTGCATGAACAGACTATTTGCTCAATAAATATTAGTGAAGCGAATGCAAAATTTTCTAGAGAGAATATTCCCTGACAGGAAGAATGCTGCATTCTGCTCTGACAAATGTTCCCATGGAAACTTAGGAATTAGACTTTCCTGTTAGATTCTGAAAAGAAATAACTAGTAAAGGTTTGCTTATTAGTATATTTATTCAAAACCATTTAGAGTCTCTTTAAAGTTGCACTGGTGCATCTCTGAAAAGTAATGGCTACCCATAGCTAGCAGAAGGAGTAGAGAGAGGCCAGAGAGAGCACTTTCATATCTAGGCTCCGCTAATCACCGGCCCCATGATCCTGCCAAATTATTTAATACATAGGATTACTATGAGGATTAGAGAAGATCATGTGTATTTCTGGGCTTTCTGTGCAATATTGTTCTCAATCATCTCTAATCGCATAGATCTAGTAATCACATCTCAGAATTAGTTACTAATTCCACCTACTTTATCATAATAACTGCACCTGTCAAAAATGGACATAATGGATAAGAGCTCAAAGTTGAGACTCAGAGCTTTTCTTGGTCATGGTTCTTCACATCCATGCCCCCAACGCTCATTCTTTCTACAGCAGAGATGTTGATCTCTGGAATTCAGCAGTACCAGAGCCATGTTTTTAAAACTGCAAAGGACCATTCCCATGTTATATTCAGCATACTTGGTGCATTGCTTTCTGCTACATTCCCCCATTTCTTTCACTCCTCCATTACGTCAGGCTTCACTAACTTTTTTTGTGTGTAGCTTTTTAGCTTCTTTTGAAATTAGACCTTCAAACATCGTGATTGCACTGGTTTCCTCAGAAGCAACTCCTGCTCAACTCAGATCCCTGGTCTATCAGAAATGTGATCTCATCTTCAGTGACCTTCTCCCAGAGATTAATAAGTTTTGTCATAACCTGAGCCTGTCATTGCTCGGTAGCTTTACAATCTAAGCTTTACGAATCCTGTTTTGATTAGCCCCTATTCTTTGGTCAGCTCATTCCAGAGTGTACACTTGAATCAAGATTTTTTCCCTCACTTTACTTTGCTTTAGCCTTTTCTATTTACCTTGCTTAATCTTGTGTTTAGCACTGCTTAAATGCATCTTTGTCTCTGAAGTTCCCCATGATTGAGAAAATACTCCCTACACACACACACACACACACACACACACACACACCACACACATGCTCACACACTTACTCTCACTGGTTAAAGCTTGCTCTCTCTACTTCCTTCTGGCCTGAGCCTGTGCAATTGGCACTTATGCACACCTGCCGGGCTGAGGAGCGTCTACGCTTCACTACATCTCTTAGATCCTGGACTGTCAACCCAAGGTAGAACATAAGGCTGTTCATCATGTTCTCCCCATCTTCTTAATCTATACAGATTCTACTTACTGAAATTATTTTTCTTGTTTTTCTCTTAAACTCTAGACATCTTCTTTTCCATCTTTGTCCTGATTTCACTGAGGAAAGCTGAAAAGCCATCAGAACAGAGCTCACACATTTCACCATCTTCTTGGCCACCCATATGCGTCTGTGCCTACTTCTTCTGATCCCCATTTCCTTTCTAGCAACCTTTTTAGATTTTGAAAGTTGATTTTATTTTATTTTTTATCTTTTTTTTTAAACAGGAAAACATCTCTGCATTCGCAGTCTCCTCCTAAGGCTCAGTGCATTTAACATAGGATGTCATTCCTTTCTTGATGAATTCTCTTCTTCACAAAACAGCCCGCCTTTCTTTCTCTGTTTCGGGTGCTTCTCTTTCTTTTTCCCAATTCTGTTCGTCTGCAAATTCTCCTTCATTTCCGCTACTTTAAATGAGACCAGTCCCCAAATTGTTCTTTATATAATCTTACTTTTTATTTTTATTAAACAGCTTGATAAAATAGCTCATTGGGAATACCCCCTCTACGCTAGAGACTCTGGCACATCTTCAGGAGGATGTATAAACATGGTGCTTGCTTTGCATTCTTACTTAGATGCTCAATACATACCTCAGACTTGAAATTATCCAGAGCTGAATTCAGATCTCCCCGTCTGTTCCTTCTTTATCACTGTAGCTGAGTTTTGTTCTCAAGACAAAAATAAATGGTGGGGTCGACATCCTCATCCTCAACTATGTTTCCCTTAGGCCCTCAAGTCCAACCTTCCAGAAATATTTGAGGTGCTACTTTCAAAATAGATGTATTTGATCTTTTCTCTTGTCTTCCTTGGTCATATACTTACATGATTCACATGATAGCTCACCTGTATTCCTGTCTTGTCCTCTTACTGTGTCCTTCTTTGCTTTCCCACCATCAGCACCACAGTTGGGTGAAGAGCAAGGGCATGGAGAAAAGGGCAGGTGGAACTCTACAGGTGTACTTAACAACTTGTATGAAGATATCTTCATGTAACAGAACACCATGAACATATACAATGAAAGCTTTGGGCACACTGAGGATTATGGGAGAAGTTAAGATGGCATGTTAAAGGTAAGCAACAGCATCTCAGAGGCAATTGGGAGACTGGGGAGACAAGACTAATGTTTGACAGTAGACAGAGACTTGGAAAAACCTAGAAAACTTGCTTATGGAATAGATGGCCAAAAGACTGTATCAAAGCTGAGTACACTGAAGTTCAGTACGGCCACAGAATGGACAGGTAAGAGAAGAAAGAGGGGGAGCCATCATAAGTAAAAATTGGCAAAGATGCTGAAGAGAGCAATTTGGAGTGAGCCATGCCAGGGCAGCACTGGTCGCTGGGTCTCATGACAAGGGAGCACTCTCTGATTTTCAAGAGCCCTCTGGAGGAAAGGATGGGCACTGTGACAGTGATCTTGAGAAGGTATTACTTTAATGTGGTGCTTTGCGAAACAAGTCCCTGTGTTGTCTTCGGAACTCAGAAGCATTGTCCTACCACCCCGTCAGCATCTACTAGGTGCTCCAGTGTAGCCCCAGTGAAAGCTGAAAGGAGCTCATTGAAAAACACATGCTATGGGATTGGGGTTGGAGACTCAGAACAGAGGAAAGCTTATATTCCCTTTCAGAATGGAGGCTTGAGACGGCAGTGAGAGAGGTACTTGGGGATGGAGCAAGCACACAGATCCCTTCATTGCCTGAGCCACAGAAACTATGGAAAGAGTGATGGTCAGCCCACAGATGGCCCCACCTCCACCCAGTACAAGATGGTGTCCACCCTTTCTTGTGGACTTTATGGAGTCACCCGGAGGCTTGGTATGTGTGTGGTTGGAAGTGTTATGCCTTGATCACAAGACCCCCAAGATGCAAAACACACAATGGTTTTCATTCAAGCTTAAACTTGGGTCATAATCCTTCCTGACACACAGGGAGAGCAACAGCCAGTTCCAAGGGAACAGAGATTTACAGGGAAAAACCACAAGCAGGGGCTTCCAAGCCTTAGCATTGCATGAGTGGACAAAAGGTAAAGGAATGAAATGCACTTTAACCTGGTTGACAGCGTCTGGCCAAACCACAAAGAGGAACAATTTGCCAAGAGGAGCACTGTGACCCTGGGAACAACTTCCGTTTTCTTAACCGATCCCATCTTTATCAGTCTGCCTCAATTGCTGTGTCTAGCTTCAAACTGCTGAGAACATTCTGGTTTTTCGTTTTGTTTTGTTTTGTTTTGTTCTTGTTGTCGTTGTTGTTTTTCTCAGATCTTAAGGATGGGAACCAAGGTACTTCAGAGATAAGCTAACCTTGGATGGAGTCTGAGAAACAACACCGAGTTAGTTCTGTTAATTTGAGCATTTCAGAAGGATGTCACCAAGCACAGCTCCAGAAATCAACTGAGATAAACTTTTCATAGAAAAATTCAAGCCTAGAGAACTTTGCTCCTGTGCTACTTTTTTTCTCTTTTAAAAATTTATTATAATTTATTCCCTTTGTATCCCAGCTCTAGCCCCTTCCCTCTTCTCCTTCCATGCCCCTACTTTAGTCCACTGATAGGGGAGGCCCTTCTCCCTTTCCATCTGACCTTAGCCTATCAGGTATCACCCCTACAGCAAGCACAGAAAGAAGGAGCAGGAAGTGCATGAGGACACACCTGTGAGGAATGGCAGTATGCAGCCTTTCAAAGCATGCATTGCTGATAGAAACAAGAGGAATGGTTGCGGAGGGCACACCCTATGGATGATGCCATCTACAGAACATCTGTGTGATCTACAAAAAGTCCCTTTTTCTTGGGAAACCTACAAAAAAAGCTGTACTATCAAGCTTAAAGAATCAAGCATTGTACAGTAAAAACTCCAAAAGGAAACATATTCTAAGCTTTGCAAAAAGCCAATATCTCAGGATACAGTAGCCAAAGAAAGCTGTTTCATGAAAAGAGACTCCCACATATAACTCTAAAAGATATAGACCCAAATACAATAAAATATAAAAACAAGACTTCAAAATCCATTTTTTTCTCCATTAATGGATTCCAAAGATGCTAAAAGTGAAAAGAATACTGAATAAAGAATTTAAAAGTATAATTTTTTAAAAAACAGACCAGTAATTTCAAGAGAATACAAACAACCAAACAAGAACTAAAATATAAAATATGAATGAGTGCAATAAAAAAGAATATTTTTTATTATTAAAAACAAGCAAAAATATTGGGAATGTGAAACCTGAAGAAAATAATATAAATCTCAGTGGATATATCATCATTTGATTGTATCAAAAGAAATAGAAAATTTCAGGTTTTGAAGATAAGATTGATAAGTTAGAACATAAAGTAATAATAACAACAAAGAAAAAAATATGAACAGAGATTCAAGAACTCTTGGCACAATTAAAACTCCAGAACTACTATAGGTATAGAATGTGGCAAGGTATAAACTAAAGGTATAGAAGATACATTCAGTACAATGATGTAAGAAAACTTTTTAAATTTGGACAAGTATATGGAAAGAGTTATGACCCCAAAATATATAACTCCAAATGAACATAATGAGAAAACAAACTCTCCATGACATATTATGGCTAAAATACTAGGATTACAAGACAAAGAATAAATATTGAAATCTGCAAAGGAGAAATACCAATTCATTTAGAAAGGCAACCCATCATAATAAAAGTTTTCTTAACACAAAGTCCAAAGAACTATAGAACTTAGAATTATGCACTTCAAATTCTGGAAGAAAATAAATAAATAAAAACTTAAAACTCTTCCAACCTAGGTGACTATACCAAGTAAAACTACCCTCAAGATTAAGAAAGAAATGAAGCCAAGACAAGCACAAGGGAAAACAATTCATGATCAGGAGACAGCTTAAAAATACACTTAATGAAATCTTAAACACACAGAAGGAAAGCAAAAGAAATTTGGAAATATGAAAAACAATGGGAAGTAAATAAGCCAGTGAGAGAACAAAGGAAGAGTCAAACATTAACAAAACAAAATAATAGTAATTATTACTTATCCATTATAATCATTAGTGTAAATGGATTTCATTTTCCAATTTAAATACAGATTGGCTGATTTGATTAAGAAGCAAGAATCAGCAATTGCCTTAATAAACATCAATAAAGCATATATTTTACTGAAAATGAATTGGCAAACATTTCCTATAATCAAATGAAAATGGAAACTACTGTATCAGACTCTCTGGTAAACATTAAGGGCAGTTTTAATAAGAAAGTTAGTTTATAAATATGCCATTTAAAAAAACACAGAAATATTTAATAAATAACCTAATGTTATATCTTGAGACTTCATAAAAACAAGAGCATAGAAACCTAAAGTAAGCGTAAAGGAAGACATAATAAAGACAGATCTAAAAAAATAAAGTATTGCTGAAGAGAACAATATGAACGAGGAATGAAACAAATTGAACTACTACAAGGGATACTACTGAAATATAGAGAGTAGTGTGAATTGTTCTGGAAATGTATATTTTTACCCAGAAGAAATGACTGAATTTCTTCATATATATGACCTGCCAAAATAAGGATATATATATATATATATATATATATATATATATATATATATATATATATATAAAGTATATAAAAAGATAATATACAATAATTAGAAAAATAAAACAACAAAAAGTTTCCTGTCAAAGAAAAGTTCAAGACAGGACAGACTTAGTGCTTAATTTTATCAAGCTTGGGGAATAACAACTTTCAATATTCCATAAGGTATTCTATAAAACTAGAACACTCCCCAAATTGTTCTGTTAGTGACAATTACTCTGATACTGAAATTGAATAAGGACACAACTAAAAATTATAACTATAGACTAATGTCCTCAAAAGGCAATATCACCAACAAAGTATGCTCAAACTGGACAGAGAAACACATTAAAATATGATTAAATATGATCAAGTTGGTTTCATTTCAGAGACAAATTGAAGGTTCAT